CTGTTTTTTTTTTTTTTTTTGCTCTGTCCATTTTCATCTACTTTCTTGCATAGCATATAATTTGGTCTTAACTTTTGACACCTTTAGCTTGGGAGAACAAGAAGAGAATATAGGATTGCAGATAACCAAAGAGACTATTGCTTCTTCTTTTGAAGTTATGCTTTTTTTTACTTTTTGCTGTCTTTTCCTTTGTTATTCTTCACTTCCAAGTTAAGCTGCATCTTATCCATTTAGATTCGGCAGCCTTAGGAAAATTAAATTTGCTAAATTATTTTTGTTAATCAAATGGTATTGGTCTTTGTTCTTGGAATCTAACAGTCTGGCCTGGGGTTTACCACAGACATGTCGGAACACTTCTCTTTTTTTTTTTCTTTTAATTTTAAAAAAAAATATATAACTTGTCTGTTCAACTTTATCTTGTATATTTCAGCTTATCCAGATTTCCAGATCTAGTTCCATCAAACTATGAAGAATACTGAATACAATATCCGGCGCAATTAATTCTAGTCTACAGTGTTAAAATTAATGATAGCTGGCCTCACTTCTATGAGTTTTCAATTTTTGAAATTTAAATTTGCCCAGTGTAGAAGCACTTATTAGGCGTAATAAATCCAATCTGAAAACGCACGTGATTTTAGTAGTCTTAAGAATACTTGCATTGATAATATTGACCAAAACATTACACATCATTCATTCATTTGGTTGAAACAACTTGACTATTTTCAGGGAAAGAATTGCTTTTGACTCTCAAAAATGCTTCCAACTCCTTACTATTTTTTTCCCAGTGAAAGATGAGATCTTTGGGTTGTTTTAGGATATAATGGAGTTGGTGAATGTTACGATCCAAATCTCACATGTCGTGATGGTGCCTATTGCGATATTAGGCAAGCCGACATTTACAATAAAACCACGCATTTTTAATTTTTGGAAAACATAATAATATAAGTTCAAGAGAAAAATCTCATAAATACTGATAAGAAAATACCGCGACTCAATATAATATTCCCCAAAATTCGGGTGTCACTGAGTACATGAGCATCTATACAATAACATGATCTGAAATACTGTCTAGGAGGGTAGAACAGTATAAATAAAACTAAGAGATAAAGGAGGAGAGTCAAGGTATTCGGACGCCAAAGCAGCTACCTCAATAATCTCCGAACTGGTAAAAACTCCAAATCAACAACCACCGTACTCGGAAGTATCTGGATCTGCACACGAAGTGCAGAGTGTAGTATGAGTACAATGTACCCAATAAGTAACAAAACTAACCTTTGGGCTGAAAGCAGTGACGAGCTCAACAGGTATACTCAAATACAAAAATAACAAAACAGAAATGTAGACATGCTTTCAAGTTCGACAGTTTAAGCTCAAACAAATAAAATATGCCAAGTGTGACTGAAATGAGGAATGATACATCTCTATCTTTACATTTCAAATATACATGCCAAATGTAATGCAGCACGGTAATAAAATCATATGCATACTCTCGGAGTATCAATGCACTCAGTCCTCCCAGTCACTCAATCCTCACAGTCACTCAATCCTCACAATCACTCAACACTCACATTCGGCACTCGCACTTAGTAGGTACTTGCGTTCACTGTTGATAAGTCAGACTCCGGAGGGGCGGATCCTGCCCAAGCGTTAAAATAAGCCAACCATGGCATGAATCAACAAAGTTCGTTACGACGTGCAACCCGATCCCATAAATATCCTCATAATTAGGCTCTCGGCCTCACTTAGTCATCAATTTCTCCAGTCTCTCGGGCTCACAATGTCATGAAAATCAGCAGAAAAATGATGATATTATATATCAATAAATGGCAACAGAGACCGAGATATGATATGCAAATGATAGATATGATTGAGTACATAAGTGCAAATTAAGCAAGCAATTCAATAGTAGCACAACCTCTATGGATCCCAATAATACCAGCACATAGCCTAAGCACGATTTTTAACATGAGTCATAACTTAGTTTCCTTAACACATGAAGAATACATGGATAATGAATTATTAGACAACAAAGCTTCACAGAATCGATTGAGTCACAATTTCTACGATGTACGCCCACACGCCCGTCATCTAGCATGTGTGTCACCTCCATACCAATCACATAACATGTAATTCAGGGATTCATACCTTTAGGACCAAGTTTAGAAGTGTTACTTACCTCAAACTGTGCAAATCTCTACTCCAATAAGCCCTTGCCTCGCGAATCGGCCTCCGAACGCCTCGAATATAACCATAAATAATTCGATACAATCAACACGAGCTATAGGAATCATTCCATATGAAAATAAGTTCTTAACCAAAAGTCAAAAAGTTAACTCCGGAACCACGTCACGGAATCCAATAAAAGTTACAAAATCCGAACACCATTCAACCACGAGTCGAACCATACCAAATTTACCAAATTCCGACACTAAATCGTCACTCAATAACAACAACAACAATAACTAAACCAGTATAATCCCACAGGTGAGGTCTGGGAAGAGTAGTGTGTACGCAGGCCTTACCCCTACCTGAAGAGGTAGAGAGGTTGTTTCCAATAGAAATCGTCACTCAACGACACCAAATCGTATCTCAAATCCCCAAATTTTACTTTATAATCCCTAGCCCAACATTCCACCCTAAAAATACATAAACTAGGTGGGAAATTAAATGTGTAATCAATATTATTGAATAAAAATAATCAAAAGTGCTTACCTCAAGAAATCACACGAAACCCCTCTCAAAAATTGCCTTAATCCGAGCTTGTACAGTCCAAAAATGATAAAAACCTCAGAACCCTTCAAATTTTAAACACTGCAGTGGTTCCGCTTCAGCAGTCCAAATAGCAGCTTCTGCGGTACCGATTTTACAGCCAAAAATCCGCTTCTGCGGAAAACACTCAACCCCCGACCATGCGTACCTGCGGCCAATCTTCCGCATCTGCGAGAAATCATCCGCTTCTACGGACCTTAGCCTTGCCTCCCATAATCTGCATCTACGGAGACCCTACCATATCTTGGGGCTCGCAGATGCGGAAATTCCTTCGCACATGCGACCATTTCCAAACTCTTCCAAGACCGCACATGCGACCATTTCTTCGCTTCTGCAGTCACGCACCTGCGACTAATTTTCTGCAGGTGTGATGGCACCAGACATCAGCAGCCCAAAACTTTCCCCTAAGTTAAAATCCAATTCGATATCGATAAACCTCATCCCCGAGGCCTCCGATACCTCAACAAAATATACCAACAAGTCCTAAAACACGATAGGAACTTAGTCGATGCCTCAAATCACATCAAAAACACGAATCGCACCCCAATTCAAACCTAATAAAAATTAATGAATTCCAACTTCTACAACCGACGCCGAAATCTATCAAATCAACTCTAATTAACCTAACATTTTGCACACAAGTCATATATGACACAACGGACCTATTCCAACTTCCGGAAAAAAATCCGAGCCCAGTAGCCACAAAGCCAACTCTCGATCAAACTTCTTAACTCTCCAAACTTCCATTTTTTCAACTTTCGCCAATTCAAGCCAAAATCAACTACGGACCTCCAAATCACTATCTGAACACTCCTAAGTCCAAAATCACCCTACGGAGCTATCGGAACCAACAAAGCTCTATTCCAAAGTCATTTACACATAAGTCAACATCCGGCCAACCCTTTTTACTTAAGCTTCAAACCTTGGAACTAAGTGTCCCTATTCATTCCGAAACATTCCCCAAACCAAACCAACTACCCTGAAAAGTCACATAACAACAATTGAGCATAGAATACGCATTAAATGGGGTAAGGGGGCTACAACACTCAAAAGACCGCCCGGGTCGTTACATCCTCCCCCTCTTAAACAAATGTTCGTCATCGAACGGGTCTAGAATCATACATCTTTGACATGTTAAGGAGGTACAACTTGAAATTGAACCCCATAAAGTGTGCATTCTATGCAGGTTTCTCTCCTTTTTGAGCTGGTTATGACATCCTTGTCTCTTCTTGACCAAACACTGCAAACAAGCACAACAAGTTAGCTTTTGGGAATACTTGTACACATTTTTAATCCAAAACTCAAGTAAAAAAGAGCATAAAATAGACTAGAATCCCTAGTTATCAAAAACACCTGGTGTAACTGGCACCTACAGTCCCTTAAGCTTAACTTTGCTCACATTGCTTACTTTTAGGGAAGCGTCTTCCTGAATGACCATTCTCTGAATTCCTCATGAATCTTCTTCCGTGGTTCATTCTATTATCACCAGAACGCAATCTGAAATTCTTATGATGTTGACTATTATCAAATCACTTAGCCCCTACTTCATGTTTAGTTTATCTTATTCATCAGCCCATACTATTTTCTATTACTCTGGGGTATTAACTCTCCCTTCAGGTAGTCGTGTTAGAGTCACGAACTTATTTCCCGAAATGAGGATATGACTTTATGACCTATACTCTTTTGTTGTCTCAAGGCGTGGCTCCTCTCGTCTTTTCCTTAACTTGACTATATATCCTATAATACCGTTATTTTTTTTTCTACCATTGTCATTCATGCATCACATCTTACTCATT